AATTCAGCATCTCCTCTACCTGCACCACTAACAGGCATGTGGGTCTTCTAAGGAGAGAAGAGAAAGGAAGATGGGTCTCTGAGCCTGTGGATGCTGGAGGAAGCCTCAGAGCCTGGCAGGAAACTGCATCACCCCATTCTTTCCTGTTCTGCAGACTTGGGACTCAGCTGACATGCATCCAGGTTCTTCTACAGGAGGCCCCTGGGCTGTGTCTCTGTGTCATCTGTGCCCAGTAATACTTGGTTATATATGAAAGGCCCATGCTGGAAAGTGTGAGAACCACCTAGTTTTGGGGGTGTCCTTGCAGATTGTGAGCCTGCTCTTCAGAGATGAGTTACAATACTTAGCATTGTTCCACCAAACATCTGAGAGCAACTCTTGTGCCTTTCAGGGTGGATGACTGGACCAGCCCACACCCATATCAGTAGTCCTCATGAGAACCCAGAGAAGGGACAGGTCAGCGTGAGGGTACGGGTGTGTGTCATCAGCCCAGGGCCAGACTCCTGCTGGGTTAAGTGAAACAGAGCCCCTGCTGAGAAAGGACAAGATGAGGTCAGACCCAGAGGTGTGAGCCTGGGAGAGAGGACACACAGTCAATGGAACCCTGTGCACTATTAGTGGGAATGTGAATTGGTACGGCAGATGAGGAAACTAATATGGATGTTTCTCAAAAAATTAGAAAGAGAACTGCCTTATGACCCAGTTATTCCACCTCAGTGTATGTTTCCAGAAAAAAAAACACTTTATCAATGAATTTTCTGTACTTCCATATTTATTTAAGCATTGAATACAACACCCAGGCATGGATAAAGTAAATGTTTATAATAGCATATTATTTGCCATAAAAATGAAAATCTTGCCATTAGTGACAACATAAATGGACCTTGAGGGCATAATGGTGGGCAAAATAAGTGAGATGCAGAAAGAAAAATACTGTATGATATTGAATGTGGAGTCTAAAATATCATTATAGAGGTCATATTTGTGGTTACCGGAGGTGGGGTTGGGCAGTGAGAGACTTGGATGTTGATGATGTAAAGGTACACACTTCCAGTTGCAGCATAAGTAAGTCCTGGGCATGGCATGGACAACACAGTGACTAGATTTAACACTCCTCTATGGTGTGTGGGAGTTTTGTTCATGTGAGTAGATCCTAAAAGTTCTTAGCACAAAGAAACCCTCATTCCCCTTCTTTTTCTTGTTATCTCTTCTTCTCTTCTCTGCCTTTTCCTTTTCTTGTGTCTGTATGAAATGACAGATGTTAACTGTATTTCTCTGGTAATCATATCACAAGATATGTAAGTCCAGTCATTATGCTGTGCAGCTTACAGTTAGACAGTGAGGAATGATCATACTTCTGTAGAGCTGGAAGAAAAGTGGGCTGGAAATGAAAAGGTCTTTTCAAGGCTAACATAGAATTGACAAACATGCATCTTAAAAGATGGTCATCATTAATGGTAATTAGAGAACTCTAAGTCAAAACCATAATGAGCCCTGGCTCGTGTAGCTCAATGGACTGAGCTCTGGCCTTTGAACTGAAGGGTTATTGGTTCGATGTCCAGTCAGGGCACATGCCTGTGTTGTGGGCCTCATCGCCACTAGGGGAAACACGAGAGGCAACCAGGCATTGATGTTTCTCTCCCTCTGTTTCTCCCTCCATTCTCTTCTCTAAAAATAAATAAATAAATCCCTTAAAAAACATAATGAGAGGTATTGTAACATCCATTAGGAAGTCAGTATTAAAAAGAAAACTAAACAAAATAACAAAAGTTTGCAAGAATATGGAAAAAAATAGAAAATCTTGAGCACCCACTAGAAAACAGTACAAATGTTTTTCAAAAATACAAAGTAGAAGTGTCATATATTACAACAATTGGAATCCTGGGTGTATGTCTAAAGTCATTTCAAAAAGATGGTTAAACACCCCTGATTGTAGCAGCAAATTCAGAACAGACAATAGGTGGAAACAACCTAAATACCCCTTGATGGATGAAGGGATGAACAAAAGTGGTCCATACATACACTGGAGTATTGTACAACATTGAAGATGGGGATCCTGTCAGATGTTTCAGTGTGGATGGACCTTGAGGACTTTATGATGAAAGAAATAAGAGAGTCACAAGAAGACATGGCTGTATGATGCCACATACACAAGGCATCTATGTAGAGTAGTCAAGGGTATCAAATCAGGAAGTAGAATGGTGAGTGCAGGAGCTGGGAGGAGGGGAAGGTGGCTTATGTGGATAACATGTCAGACTTTGCCTGATACAAGAATTCTTCACCTTGTTCTATGTCAACATGAATATACCTAACATGACTGAATTGTATACTTTGGATAGCTAAGATGGTGCACTTTTTTATTTTCTGCCACAATTAAGAATTTTTAAAAATATATAAAACTTGATTCACTCTGTGCACATTTTCTTATGCACTGAAGAGTCCAACATGCATTTTATTTAGAACTGAAACAAAGACCTCTGGTTCTTTCTAAAAGAGCTTCTGATTGAACACGTGCTCCCTCTGACCTTTGTTCTCCTGGGCAGGACCTGTTGAACATCAGGGCAATGGAGTCAGGGTCCCAGGGGATTTCTTCAGGGACCCAATGCACTCCCGATGAAAACCCCACCCACAGTGAAGCTGCAAACCCTTTGATCCAGTGGGAAATCGTGATTTCCTACTCACCCCTACACCCTCGAGAGGGACATTGGAATCTGGCCTGGCATTGCCTTGCCCTCCGTGTGTGGTACAGTAACATATGGCCATGCCCCCAGGGATCACAGAGCTCAGCTGCATGGGGAGCTGGAACAGGGACATGCCCTCAGGGTCAAGATTCTGCTCTGTAATGACAGTTGGGGTGTGAACTACACCTGGCACTGTGCACCCCATCTTTGGAGCATCTCTCAGAGGTTCACTAGTCCTTAGCCAGAACCATGCAGCTCACTCAGGACAGGACACCTGGGGACAAAGAGGACACTGTGGAGAAGGGAAGACTCCTTTTCAGCCTCTTGACACACATCACCTCAGACTTTCAGATGTCAGTTTCTCTCAAGGAGAAGATCCCCAAGCACATTGTGTCCATGCCATGATCTTGTGCTCAGACCCCTACTCGGCTGATGGAGAGGGAAACACAGGCTTTCTCCTGCACTGTGCTCTCCATGGAACCTCATTCTCATTGACCTGTGGGCAACTTCCCTGCTTCTCAGGGTCTGTAACCCACTGATGATGGGGGTCATCACACTGAGTCTCTCACACAGTGATGCACGGGCATACCCTCCAACATCAGGCCATTGATCTGCAGATAGGTCGTGCTGATGGAGTTGTTCACAGAGAAGAAAAATCCTTCTGAGAAGCCCTGGCCATATGGGGGTTTCCCAGAGTTTGTGTTGACCCAGCCCACACACTGCTGCCATCTCCTGGGCCTGCCCCACCCAGAACAATGCATAGCTGGTGAAGCTCCACACAGAAGGCTTTCAGGAGACCTGCACTGAGGCCCCAGGCTTCCTCACCTCATCCCAAGGCTGCAGCAGCTGCATGTGGGAGTGGCCACCTGTGGAGAGGAGGCAGGTGTGGGTGAAAATTCCTCATGAGTGTTCCTGGCCCCCTCCTCAACCCAGAGTCTGAGGAGAGCCATACATGCAGCCACTGGCACCAGGACAAGGGCTCTCCAGCTCTAGTCCATGGTGAGGGCTGTGTCATCAGGACTAATAATGTAGGGGAGGGTGTGGCTGTGGGTGATGCTCTCAGGGCACAGACAGACTCACGGTTAACCTAGTCTACCTCTCCTCACTTGCATATTCATGAGACAGGGCACTTTAAGGCTGTTATATGACCCCACCTTTGAGAGGGTACAGGACACAGGGACCATTCTCAGTGGGAGAGTCAGGGTCCAAGTCTGTCAATGTTATTGGGTATAAGTTTCCTGCTGGCTCCCTGAGCTCCGTAGAGACATAGCTCCTCCCAGTGAGGAACAAGCCCCCACAGGACGTGCTCCTCATTGAGAACCCACCTTTTAGTGACACAGTCAACCTGGACCAGTTCTGGGCTTTAATACCTGTAGGTTTTATTCCTTGGATCAGGGCGTCTTAAAATGCAGCACTGAATAGGTTTGAAAAAATCCCTGTCTCCAGATCCTTAATTTTCAGTTATCAATAAGCCCTACAAATGCTCTCACTGAGTGAGGTTTTCTTGTCTTATCGAGTTTGGTAAATTCTCTGATAGAACAGGATATTTACAGTCACATCATGCCCAGATCTTATTTTATACGTTTTTATGAAAAGAATAACTGTGCCACCAGAGGAAATCCCTCCCCAGCTTCCTCGGCACCTGCTCCTGAAGCAGCTGTCCTTACATCACAGGGTCTGTGCGCCTCCTGCTGTCCAGCCCATGCCCTGCAGGGAGGGATGTCCTGTCTGAGCTCACAGGGCATGGGCCTCTCAGCATCTCTAGTGTGGAATTAAAGGCTGCACCCTGACTTCAGCACGCTCCTCAGTGCAGGGCACTGTGAAGCCACCAGGGAGCTCCCTCGCTGGAGATGCCAGGGGAACTGACTCAGGTCACACCCCTGTGTCCAGAAACCCTCAGCAGTTTTGCGGGTCTCTGATGTCCTCAAATTTCTCTGCTTGCAGGTCCCACCTGAGTATCCAAGCATGCCCCCTAAATCCACTGCACTTCTACTGCTGAATGAATCACACACTAACACACACAGTGATGATTTTCATTGTAATGGCCCCAGTTCTCCCTTCTCCCCAGTTCGTAGCACATGGGAAGGACCCCCACTCTCATCACATTCAGTGAGTGGCTGACTGTGATGAGAAGAGAAGCAAACACGATTGACATGAAGACTTGAGAGCACCTGCCCTTGCAGTTTCCTGCTCCCCCAGCACCTGGAACCTGAAGATTCTATGGTGAGAACGCCCTAGCTCCTCGGGAGGAAAAAACAAGGGCACCCTTTTCCAGTCAGTGTAGCCAACACTGACCTGGATTTTTTGGAGGTCTCTGATGTACAGGCCACAGGCCCCCATTCTCAGAGCACACAGCCAGGAGTGCCGAGGGCAGTGCCAAGGAGGACACTGGGTGGTGGTCACCAGTGGAGAAGCAGGTGCTGATGCAGGGGCAGCAGAGGCAGAAAAGTGGTCCTGGGGAGTCAGAGTCTGTGGACCAGTGTCAGTGTAGCTTTCCACTGTCCCCGGTGTCCTCAGCGCCCCCTGGTGTCCTAGGCACTGCTGCACTCCAGCCCCCTTGTCTCCACACAGGAGGTTTGTGTCTGGGCTCACACTGACTTCCCCTCACTGTGTCTCTTGCACAGTAATACACAGCTGTGTCCTCGGTGGTCACGGATCTCAGCTGCAGGGAGAACTGGTTCTTGGATGTGTCTCTGGAGATGGAGGTGCGGCTCTTGAGGGACGGGCTGTAGTAAGTGTTCCCATCATAACATATGCACGCAATCCACTCCAGCCCTTTCCCTGGAGGCTGGCGGATCCAGTGCCAGCAGTAACCACTGGTGATGGAGTATCCAGACACAGTGCAGGTGAGGGAGAGGGTCTGTGAGGGCTTCACCAGTCCTGGGCCTGACTCTTGCAGCTGCACCTGGGACAGGACACCTGGGGACAAGAACCATCCAGCCTGTCAGTCATGTTAAGTGACCACCATCCCATAGAACTCTGTCTGCCATCTGAGACACTCACCTTGGGGGGCTGTCACCAGGCACAGGAGGAGTCCCAGCACTCTCATCTTCTTCTAGACAGAGCTCTGCCTTCCCCAGAGACCTCTTTCCTGTGTGAGGAGACAGTTGTGAGCCCCCACAGCCCAGGGGAGGATTTAAGCTGGAAGTGAGAAAGAAATTTGCATGTGAGGGATGCTGTTCTCATAAGTGAGGAGAGAATGAGGTCACTGCCCCATGTCCTTCTGGACCCTGAGCACAGTTATTCTGTTGGACTCAAAGGTGTGGGTCAAGTTTGGGAAGTCATTTGGGTTATGCAACAACTTTGAAACATGACAGTGGACAGCCCTTCTTTCTATGTTTAAAAATTGAACCTGAACTGGATGAGGGACCATACTCTTTTAATTTCATGCATTATTAAAGTGGATATTAAAACAGATTGACATTATGCCCAAACACCTGCCCAAGTCCAAAAACATCACATGAAGTAGATTCATTGTTGTCAGATTGGAAAACATAATTTTATAAAAAATAACATTTGATGTAAATTTTGTTGTAAAATAAAAGTATTTTTCTTCACCTGGCTGAGGCCCCCTGAGCCTGCAGGTGGTGGTTCAGGTGCAGCCTCTGTCTCAGCCCAGCTCCAGGGAATGGGGCACACTGGTCAGGTCCTGCTGCCAGGAGTGCAGCCCTGGCCCTGCAGCTGAGACAGGTGCTACACATGCTGTGTCCTTCCTTTCACCTCACTTCTCCCAGGGCAGAGCAGGCAGCCCCTTCCCACAGGTGACCCACTCTGGAGGCCTCCCAGGTTCCTAGACCACAGGAGGCACTGAAGTCCTGGAGGCACCTTCTGCCAAAGAGACACAGGCACTCATTCTCGGCCAGCAGGGGTTCTGAGCTGTGTGTGGACTGCAGGACCTGCTTCCTGGCCATAGAGTCAGTTTGGAAACTGCCATCCTCAGGTACACCTGAGGGCCTAGGGGAAGGGGATATGAGGTCTGATGTCTGGGGAAGGGGAGTTGGATCTCATGATGGGCCAAGGTGACAAATGGAGGGAAAACAAAGTGCTGAGCAGGTGTATCTTTTATTAAATCACTAAACTTAGGTGAAACCCATGATGGAATTTGACAGCCTAGTAAATGCTAAAAACCAGGTTTGCTTCCCCAAGTCTCACACACCCTCCACACACAGAACATCCCCACTGCTGCCCCCATTATTTAACAGGGCACAGCGAGGACTGGGGCACATCTGACAGACTGAGGACATCCCTGGACCAGTTGTGAGATTTCCTCAAGTAACAAATGTCTCAGGAGATTTCCTCTTTGTTGACAAAGAGCTGAGAGTGAGGGGTTGGTGCAGACACATGGGGTTGAGGTGGCATCTGTGATGGAGATGGCAACACTGTTCTGGAAATACTGGGGGCATCTGTGAGGAGCCCAGGGCATGAGCCAGCATGGCCAGCATGAAGGAAAGGGAGGTGGATGCCAAGGGAGAGCAGTGAGATAACCTCCTCCAGGAGCAGCACACCTGTGCCCCAGGGCACACCTGTGTTCTTTAACCCTTTCCTGACCCCTGCCCCCAATGTGGAGGAGAACTGAGAACCTGCCCACGGCCCTGGCCACCCCAGTGATGTATGTTCTGCACTGCCCCAGTGGGCCCTCAGACTACACATGTCTTCCCCGATCACCTGTCCCTGTGACTCTGCTCTGAGATGCATTTCAGGTGACACATAAATGTCTCTTGTCCCAGGTTTCCAGAAACTTTAGAGACCATGAGACACAGAGAAGTGGAACCTGTTGAAGGTCTTATCATTTTTGTCACTCCCATGGCAGGTGAGGGCAGAGGGATCTGTGGGCTACTGTCTCAGGGGGACACTGTAAAGTGAAAATTCATGGGGGCAATGTGTCTCCTGAGAAGGGAGCATCCATTCTGGGCAGCAGGGTCCTGTGTGTGGTGAGCATCATGGAGGTCGTGGGTTCCCACATCATCCTGGCTGCACCACACCGTGATGTAGAGAGTGCTGACCCTAAAGACATGCCACCCACATTGCACCCCCCTCAAAGAGACACTCAGGTGCTTGTAATGACCTGCCCCCTATGAACATGTCTTACCCTCTGCCCTTGACCCCACACATCCACCTCACACACTGCTCTCATGCCAGGGATGTTGTGGTCCAGAATCCTGGACCAGGCTCCCCTGTTCCCAGATTCCATTTCCTTTGAAATGCCCATAGGGCAGGCACACTCTCTGAGGTTCTTTCCACAAAATGAGCTCCTGACAGCGACCTTCCATACCAGCCTTCTGCAGCAGTCCTGACTGTATTCCAGCCCAGCAGAGTCAGGAGGCACCACCTCTCCTGGAAAACACGAGCACACCTCTCATTAGTGCTGGTGTGACATTTGTGGTAAAACATACATTAGCTAACATCCACTGTGCTAATCAATTTTAAGTGGACACGGTGACACTAAGTGCCCTCACTCCATTTGCAACCCTCATCACCATCCAGACCCAGAAATACTGACTTTCCCAAACTGACTCAGTGTCCATTAAATAATACCTCCTTGTTTCCTGTCCCCACCACAGCCACACTTCTGGTGCTCTGTCACCATGCCCTTGACCACTAGGTGTCTCACAGACATGGAAACACACAGCTGTTGTGATCCTGAGAATGATTTATTTCTCAGGGTGTTGTGTCTGCAAGGGTCTTTCTTATTCTTGCATCTGTTCACCTTTTCTTTTTTTACAGCAGAATGATATTTTGTGATAAAGATGGAGCACATCTTCATTATTCGGTTTCCTCTTCCATCTCTTTGTTTTCACAAGAGTTCAGTTGACTGTAAACAAGTGTCTTTGCTGTTTTCCTGATCAGGAAGCATGAAGCACAGCACAGGGAAGGTGGACAACAAATTCAGGTGAGAAGAGTCTACACAGGATCACACAAAATGGACAGGAAGAATCGGTGACCAGAGGCTGTGCTGAGTTAGGACAAACAGTAATAATTTCTATAGTGATGATTGAGGTCCTATGCCATGGTCATCTGTCCATCCTAGAAGTAGCACATGAGGAGAAATGGGGAGAAGGAGACACAGCCTGTGTGATGGGGGCAGGGTGGATGGGGCCCTGGTGTCTGACAGGGACTAGGTCCACCTCCAGGTCACACCTGTCTCAGTGGGCTGTTCCTGGGACAGGGGCACACATCCTTCCCCTGTCTTCTATCTCTGAGGAAATAGCAGAATGTGGCAGAAAGAAGGTTCAGGGGAAATTGAGGAGTGACAGGAATATGAGGATCACAGAGGAGTCTCAAGGTTACTTACAGTCAAAACATGACAGGCCTGAGATGCAGGAGGAGCCCGTGTGCCCTGAGTGCTGGAGGAAAGATCACAGCTCATGTGGTCACTGCAGTTCCAAGGACAGCAGAGAAGAGAGTCACAATGGTGCCCTGCACAACTTCAACATTCAGGCACGTCCCCCCAACACCAGGGAGGGCAATTTGCTTCCCCAAGTCTGCTAATTTTAATCACCCTCATGGAAACACCCAGATAATGTGGGGGCACCAATTACCTCTGAAGTGGACCTCTTAAAGTGACTGTCCCATAACTCATGTATCCAACCCTCTCAACAGACTCAGGCAGCCTTCTCCCCACATCATCCTCAATAGTGTCTTCAAACTCATAAATCTGGGAGATTTATCTTCTGAATGAGGAATCAGTGGAAATGGGTAATGAATCTCATAGATGAGCCCTTAGCATGTCTGTCAATGACAAAGGTCACAGTGAAAATCCAGGTAACCCCCTGCATTCACACCTCACTGCTCACAAAGCAAACATGAACTCCACACATTTGAGAATGGCTCCTGTACAGGACGCCCAGCACAGGACTATTGAACCCTCCAGAAGCTGCAATCAGTGGAAGAAGGCAGCCTACCCACGACATGTGATACAATGAGAAAAGTCTCAGACAGTGGAAACTGCCACTCTAGTTGTCCCACCAAAGAACCCCTGTCTACTCCCTGGTGTGATCTTATCTGCTTGCTCATAATCCTGGATTGCTGTCCACCTGAGTGCATGGCTAACTCCCTTTCCCTCTTCCCTTATTATTGCAATTCTTAGGTGGACTCAGGAGTCTGAACCCAGGTTTTGATAATGGATGCCTGGGAGTTTTGAGCTTTACACACTTGATTCACATCTGCCCTCATCTGGGCACAATGGTAAGAAACCCTTGGGTACCACTCCTTTGCCCCTGGTGGGACAGTCAATCCAGACAAGTCCCTGCTCAACACAATAACCTTCACTGGCCCTCAACCTGGACAACAACACACCCAGAGACAATTTCCTGGCCTGACTCTCAGAAGCCAGTTCTCCCCTCCTGGAGAAGCCTGCCCAGCCCTCCTGAGACCTCAGTAATGTCACAACTGAGCTCCATCTGATCCCATGGTGTGTGGGCATCATCAGACTCAACAGCTGAGGCTACTTTGGGTGGGAGCACCTCTGAGTTTGCACAGGGGCCACAGTCACAGGTGATGCATCATGGTGCTGGGACAATGACCACCACAAGCAAGTCTTTCTTCTCCTTCACGGTTGACCACTGCTCTGTCAACTGATGGCAGGGGAGTCCTGGGAGCTGCTGTTGGCTGCATAATAGTAATCTCTGCTGTCAGAGTCCACATACTGACTCAGGAGTAGATGTGCAAGCAGATATCAGATGAAGTAGAAAACCCAGACTAACACAGGGACCCAGGGCTAACACTGACTCCCCTCTCTGTGTCCCTCACACAGTGATACATTGCCATGTACTAGGTGGTAACGAGGTCACCTGCAGGGAGTGCTGGTTCCTGGATATGTCAGTAGTGATGGGGGTGTGGTCCCAGGAGCTGGACTACACTTTGTGACCCTTGTGCAGTACCTGATGCACCCCAGCCCCTTCCCTGGACACTGGTGGATCCAATCCAGTAGATAATGCTAGTGATTGAACAGGTGAGGGGGAGGGTCTAAAAGGGCTTCACCAGTCCTGGGCCCAATTCCTGCAACTGCATCTGGGACAAGACACATGGGAACAAGAGGCATCAGTCCCTGTCAGTCACATACAATCACCAACATCCAAGACACCTGTCTGTCATCTGAGACACTCAAGCCCTGGGGG